TGGAGGGGAGGGGAGGGGAGGGGAAGGAGGGGAGGAGAGGGAATGGGAGGGAAGGGAGGGAGAAGTAGAAACAGTGAGCACCATGCTAAGCACCTGGCGTGCACTACTGAATTTCATGCTCCAGACCGTGCACAGGGCACGTCCCATCGGCACCTTCCCTCTAGGACACGGAAGCTGAGGCCACGTGTCAGGCTACCCGAGGCAGGCTCACAGCGGGGGTGGAGGGAGTGCAGGCCCTCTCCGGCAGGTCTCCCCAGGGAAGCCCGGAGCGCAGAGGCCTGGCCGGGCCCTTACCTGGCGGACTGAAGGTGGCCTCCCAGGTCATGGCGTTCTCCCGCGTGTACAGCTCCACCGAGCCCTTGCCGCCGCTGGAGCAGACTCTGAAGCCGTCGGAAATGACCTGCCCCCCGTAAGCAAAAGGGGTCGGTCTGGACTGCTCGCCTCGTGTCTTCCAGAAGAAGGAAAACGTGACCCCTGAGGGAAGGAAGGCGACAGGGTGAGTGAGGACTGACGGACAGCAGAAGGGACCCCCTCAGAAGCAGGTGGTTCTCTCCACTCCGTACTTTTCATGTGAAAAGCCATTTTTTTCTCATTCTAGAGACAACTCACGTTCAATTCAGAAAACACAGGCAATAACAATAAGCCGTATTTATCAAAAGCTCAGAGTACTGGACCGTTTCCCAAGAGTTCTGAGCGAATTATCTCCTTCAACATCATGAAAACCAGGTTATCGTCCCCATTATGCAAATGAAGACCCTGAGGCCAGTTTGCCTGAGGTCACCAGACCAGCATCAAGCTTCATCCAAGCTCAAACCTTGCAGCCCCAGAGCCCGCAAGTATCAGTAACCTACACCATCCTATTCTTACTCCTCCTTTTCGTCCAGAAGCGTCTTTATGGTAACTCCTCCTAAAACCTTCCCTGCAAGCATATTTTACGAAGAAGGGAACCAGCTCCTGCATACTGGCTTATAAACCACATCTTAAAAACACTTCCTGCATCTCGAACTTCCGACAGCCATAAATACTCATGGTGTCTCTGCATGGCATTATATTCTAAATCGGGACGGCACGGTTTCCTTCTACTTCTTACTCCCCAGACAAAACTGGAAGCTAAATCTTCTGGCAAAAGTCATATTCTATCCTTTAGGCTAAGTTCCTAGTGGGGAATTCCCAGTCAAAGGGGAAGCCCGCTTTTAAGGGTCTTGACATTTAGGATAATAATTTCCAACAGAGGCACAGAGGGCGGCCCACGGGGCCCTGCAGCTAGACTTCCTTTCAAGACACCCCGTACTGCACCGTGTGGACTGAAGGGCCTTTGCTCAGACGCTGCTGAGCCAGCTAGCTCCGTGCTCGCTGCATCTCAGCTGAGAGCAGGCCCAGCTCTTGGCAGGGAAGACCCCATCCCACAGTCCCCTTGCGGGCCTGGGCGCCGGGCTCCTCGGGGAGGGGACATGGGGGCTGGAGCTGGCCGGAGGCTCGGCTGCATGTTAGGCTGCCCGCCACTGCCTTCCAGAGCGCAGACCACCTCTACCTGCGGGGCTGACTCCAGTGAGATTTACCCTTTCCCTGCACATGAGTAAACTCTGTGCGTGCGTGTGTGTGCATCCGCGTGAGAGAGACAGAGTGCACACACACGGTAAGTGCTGAGCTAGCGACCCGCGTGGACTTCGTGTGGGAAACCGTCCCGGCTGCCCCACCCCTCCCAGTCTGGCCCGGCGGGGAGAGGACAGTGCCCAGAGTTGATCAAAAGAGGCCCGTGACTCGGGGTGCGAGGACAGGGGTGGAGGGCCATTTGCCCCGGGCCTTATTTATACACATGGCACCAGACTTAGACTTTGGGCCTTATCTTCAAATGAGATTATGGACCCAGCCTGAGTCACTGAATCAGCAGACATTTGCCATCACATATAAACTTGCGTCCTGTCACCAACCACCTTGACGGTAACGCCTTATGGACTGACACGTTTGTTACAAATTGTTCGAATGTCTTGTGATGATCAGACTGCATTATGCTTTTGTGGGCTCCAAGCCCTAATTTGGCTCACGAGAAGCATGTAGAAAAGCATAATTTTATAATCCTGGTCTGGAATTTCTCCATTTTTTTTAATCTAAGAGGAACCTCAAAATAATGGCAGAGGCCTGGAACTTTCTGAACCTCTGAGAAGCTAGAGTAGAACTCCACCTCATAGGGGTGTGTGCTTAGGGCTCCCGAGGAAAGCAGAGAGCCCCCCAAGTGCCCCGAAGGACGGGACTGGGGATGGAAGGCTGCTCAGAGGCCTCGGTGGTCCCAGGACCCTCCCGGAGCCCGCTCTGTGCTCGGGGCCCAGCTGCTCCCACCCGCCTGGCGGCCTGGGACCAGAGTCCAGCACAAACCGTGGCCCTCCCACCGAGCCTCCCGCGGAGCCTCCCCGCTCTCAGAAACGACCCTTTTCACCAGGAAGCAAACACATGCATTGTGAAATTTTTGTTGTGAAATGAATTCCCAGAGGATTCATGGAAGTTAATTTTTTCCAAACACTTTGCTGCATTTAGAAATTCCTTTTATTCAATCCCTCTTGGCCAAACGTCTTTCTGTCACAAATAAGGCAGTGGTTTGGCGTTAGGTGAGGTGGGCGCGAGGCAGACGACGCTGCCTGTAGGGCGAGCGTTTCGTTTTCATCCGTGTAACTGCACAATAAACGCTCCTATCTACAGGACAGCTTTATCTCTAAACACCCGTTCACTTCTTCCCAGTGTCTTAGGAGCTCATAGGGAGCCTCTCGTGCCGGCGTCCCCGAGGAGCACGGCTGCAGGCCCCCGGGTCATCAGCACAGGGAAGAAACAAGCGGGAGGGAAAAGAAGGAACTCTGATGATTGACAAGTTGATTCCCCACTTCTTTCTTCATATGAGCATTAAATCTGAGTCTACCCAAAAAGATAAAATGAGGAGAGGTCTTCCTCAACAAGACCCAGAAAAAGAAAAGGAAAACATCATCCAGATGCCACAAGAAGAGACAGATGCAATAAAGCGCAGAAATACAAAATTCTGCAAGGTGAATAGTTTACCGTAACAACGTCAGAGGGCAACTGGCCATCCAGGAAGAAAAAACGACGCGTGATACATTTAACAGTCAAGAAATTCATGTCCTTACTATGTAAAAACACTTGATAAAGAAAAGCACCATCACGAGCATTTAATGGGAACTTCCCAGGAGCAAGAAAGACTGTTCTAAGATCCTTCACACCCCTGTGAAGCGGGTGTGATCGGTGTCCCCATTTTACAGGTGGGGATACTGAGGCACAGAGAGGCCACGCAGCGGGCAGCAGGCAGGATTGGAACTGGGCAGGGTGGCTGCGGAATCTGCACTGTAATCATGGCGCTGTCCCACTCTCCCCAGAGACCACGTGTGCTCCGGAGAGCACGCGCTCGCTGCATGAAACTACAGGGATCCTCGGAATTGCAGCAAGAAAAGGATGCACAGCAAAGCCCCGGGCCAAGCGAGGAGGTCCTGGTGAACATGCTGTCCTCTCTGTGTCTCTGTGGAGGGTGGGAGGGCAACTGGCAGGGGTGGGCGGGGGTCTTCCCAGGTAGAGGAGCAGCCCTTCCCGGCAGGGGGGCTCAGCGCCGTGTCCTGCATGCCCATGGTTCAAAGTGGACCCAAGCAGCTGTAAGTGGAGAGATCACAGCCACCTGTAGGCCTCATGGCCGGCGTGGCATCCAGGCGCCCTCCCCCAGGAACAGCACCTGTGTGTCCCCTGGGAGAGCCGAGCCCCCCTGCCCACCCCCGTTTCCTCCAGCCTGGGGGGGTGCCGACCACGCAGCCCGGGCCAGCTCCATCAGAGCCACCGCCGCGGGGCCCAGAGTGAGGACCGACCTCGCTCTCACACCTGGGGTGCCCTCCCCAGAAGAGTCTGAGCACGGAGAGATGTGTGTTTCTGCCGGGGGTGTTTGAGCACCTGCACCAGCCTGATGCAGACAGTGTTTCAAAGGGGCCACGATGCCTCCCATCCCATGTGCTTCTGCGCCACGTGACCCCGCCACTCTCCACCAACCCTCAGAGCCAAGTTCCCCGCCTGCCCTGGGCCTGACTTGACCCAGGGCGGACGGCAGAAGTGACCCTGGCCCAGCCCCAGCTGCCACCTGTCTCGCAGCTTCCGCTCTGCCTCTTGGAGCTCTGAGCCGACACAGAAGTCTGGGCCACACAGGCGAGCCCAGGGGGGCCAGAGCGAGAGGGAGGGAGCCTTCGGCGACCCCGGGCCTGGCTGCTCTCTGACCACAGCTGCTCAAGGCCCCAAGCCCAGCCAGCCCACGGAACTGGGAAAAGAGACACCAGCTGGTGTTTTGCATTGCACAGCATAGCTAACCAAACCCAGTCTTGCCTGGAGCCATTCATTCCACGAGCCAGTAAACCCCCGTTTTGCTTAAGCCTAATTGAGTTGAGTTTCTATTGCTTACGGTGACTCTCGGCTGACACTGACCTGGCGGACCCCACAAGGACGCGCACGTGGCTCCTCCTTCCTTCCTTCCTGACTAGCACGTTGGGTCGAGGGTTCGGGGAGGATACCAGAGCGGCCGCTGCAGGGGAGGGGGCACAAGCAGACCCTCCATTCTCTCCCACTTACAAAGGTACTTGGGTCCAGCCGGAGGTAGCCGCCGCCCCAGTGAGACCACGACACGAGGGAGAGCCGTCTGTCCATACACTGGAGGCCCTAGCAGCCTGCTGAGAGCAAGTCTGCACGACAGTTACCCTGAGCCAGAAGGGCAGGCTCAAGAATGTTCTGGAGTGGGAAACTGAGGGCATCCAAGTCCAGTAACACCAGCATCACCTCAGCGCCAAGCTCAGGTCTCGGAGAAGACCCGTCCCGGGGCTGCCACAGAACACATAGACTGGGGGCATCACCAGTTTCTCGCCGTTCTGGAAGCTGGAGTCCCTGGGGAGGCCCCTCTTCCTGGCTGTGCCCTCACCTGGCCCCTGGCGTGCGCGCAGAAGGCATTACTCCCACCCGGGGCCCGCCCCCAGCGCCTCCCCCAGCCCTGCCACCTGCAAAGGCCCACCTCCAGCGCCATCCCGTTAGGGAGAAGCTTCACCCCATGAAAGCAGAGGGACACAAACATTCAGTCCCTAGCAGTACCCTCACTGCTTCCTTCCTTCATTCATCCCGCAGATGTTTATGGGTGGCTGAGCAAGGGGCTGCAGACAGGTGCACAGACCCACAGGGTCCCTGGGCAGCTGGTACTCACCATTGTGCAGGGCCAGGGACAGACAGACATGGAACGCAGTCACACAGGGGTCTCTGCAGTGACCCCTGGATTCAGTGTCAAGAAGGGACATGGGGGCCATCTGACCTGAAGACCTGGAGCGGCTTCCCAGAGCGGAAGCAAGATCTGAAGGAAGGGGCGTTCTCCGACAAGGGAGGGACCGTGGAGCGTTGAAGGAACCCCAGTAACCTGCGTCTGTGGCAGCACGTGCAGGGGAGGGGAAAGAGCAGAGAATGAGGAGCGGAGCGCGGGGCCTCCGACTGTGAGGAGGCTCGGAGGGAAGGCCGAGGCTGTGCCCCGGCCCGGATCCCCAGCACCGCTGCAACAAACCACCACCCAACTGACCGGCTCCTAACAACACACACTGACTTTCGTCCAGTTCTGGAGGCGAGAGTCTCACAGGGCCACACTCAAGGTGTTGGCAGGGCCGCCTTCCTTCCCTCGAGAAGCCCCAGGGGAGAACGTGTTCCTTCCCTTTTCCGCTTCTGGAGGCGCCTGCATCCCTTGGCTCAAGTCCCTCGCTCCCCATTCAAGCCACCTGCGCATGTCTCTCTTGGACTCTGCCCTTCTGCGCCCTTGGAGGACACCCGTGATCACCCTGGGCCCACACACGATCCGGGACCTGCAAGGCCCCTCGTTAATCACACCAGCAAAATGGGCGAAGGGAACGCGGGAACTGTGTGACTTTTTACAGCTCCATGTTTATCTATGGTCACCTCTAAACAGAAAGGTTTTTAGAAAGAGGAAGAGCCTTTGCGGGATCCGAAAGGTCTTTAGTCTGAGCTGGCTGGTTCCGTTTGACAGTGCATCCCAGGCCGGCAAGCTGCGCGTTCTCCTGGTTTTGGGGGAAGAGAGGCCTCCCAGAACTGGGGCCCTGGTTCCTTCATTTGTCACTGAATGGAGGCTGTCCTGGGGCCTCCCAACTAGCGGGTTCTCAGTGGGTTTTCCCGCAGCGCGGCCACTGGGCAGGAGAGGATCCAGGCGTGCAAGGCTCCGACGGGGTAACACCTGCCAAGGGCTTCCATGGAGTACAGGCTGGGAGCAGAGTGAGGCTGGCGAGTGTGGGCTTTCTGGATCCCCAAGGAATGCTCCAGACACCAGGGGACGGTTGACCAGCAAGCTTGCCACCTCCGGTCCCAAATCCTGATCTCCTAAGACACTAAAATGTAATCTCTGTCCCCATGTTTCAGCTTAGTGCTGCTGAAAATGACATTTTCTACCTCCGTATTTTTAAGAGTAATTGCACACCCTAGGGTCCTGGACACCTGCTCCAAGAGGATTTTAGCACGGAGACACGCCCTGACACGACGCGAATCACAGCACGAGAGGCCGCCTCCTCCTCAGTTGTCTGCTCTTCTGACAGCAGCAAGGAGAAAATCCATCCGCGTGTAAGTCACGCTCACTAATCCCCACTCAGCAAAGAAATGCCTTGTCTCAAATGTGGAGCCCTCGGTGGGCACTGATCCCCAAGTACAAGTCAGTAACGCACGTGTCGCCCACTTACGGGAATTATTACTAGTTTTCAATTCGTGGGAGGGACATAGTTTCTTTTTCAATTACATCCAAGTGGGTGAAATTTAAAGAAAAACGCTAAGTACGATAATAGTTCAGGCGGTACACACATATCGGTAAAAATTATAAAAGTAGTTCTAAAGTGAGTAAAACTTAAGAATCACTGATCTTAAAAAACATTCCACCACGACTGGAAATGTAGATAATTGCATCATTCAACCCAGACTGGTCAAAGGAAGGGATTCTGTCCTGGACTGTTCTCTGGTGTAGACACCTTCCCAACTTGCCGCAGCGCTGGCTCGATCGTCTGCATCGGGTAAGCTGAGTTCAAGGCACTGGCGTGCCCCCTTTCTGCCCACATCAGGACTGTGGCAACAGAGTCATGTCTGTCTGGGCACGCTTCCTTGGTACGATTTTCAAGCGATCTGTTGTCCATTCTCAAGACTGTGGAGACCCACTTGCCAAAAAACACAGAGAATGGCTCATAAGACTTACTTATTCATCCTCAGAAACATGGAACAACTCAGGAGGAAAGAGTATGGCTACGTATGGTTGTCCATGAACACAAGAGGTCTTCCTCCTAAGGTGGGAAGTGAACAGGTATCGACACCATGGCCCAGAGTAGCGTCTCCCTCACAACATCTGACTTGGACTCGGCACCAAGAGGCCGGGAGGATAGTGAAGCTTCAATACTATATCCTATTTTTTTTTCCAGGTCCGTAGTTAGAAGACGAGAAATAACAGCTAAAGAAAGTGAGAGAGGGCGCCTGGGTGGCTCAGTTGGT